AAAATGAATATAATTTTCTGATGCATAATAACGTCTTATCATGAACTAGGTATAATTTAACCACTTCCTGTTGGGCCCGTGTACATAAACGGCCGGAAGGGAACAGTGCAGGGGCGGGTGGCCCTTTATAAACATCCTTCTGCTTTCCTGCCTGTGCGCGCTCCCTGGGAGCGATCCAGTGCCTGCTGTGTCCAGAGGACTCTGTGTGAGGTCCCAATCATGTGATCACTGATTGGCCAATCAGTGATCACATGAATAGTAGCAAGCAAGATGTCACTTCTGACATCATTGCTTACTGCTTGTGAAATCTGTGAATGATCACAAAGGTCACATGGTACAAGGCTATTCAAAACAGCTTTGTACCATGTGACAAGCTATGACCAATCACAGCTCTCACAGTATTTCTCAATGGCTGCAAGAATGCAGCCAGAGAGAAGGAGAAATAATTGATTTTACAGCCTTTATGGGTGTAAAAAAAAAACAATCTTCATCACCCCCCACAGTAGTACAGTGTCACTATGGTGACACTGTACTGCTAGGGTGACAGTATGTTTTAAAAAAAAAAAAATAATATAAAAAAATAAAATGGAAATGTAAAAATGTTTTTTGTAAAATTATATTTTTTTTGGTTATAAACTAATTTGGTTAGTTTGTTTTTACTAAAATGATAGCTGAATACATTTTGGCCAAGATTTATGAAGAAAGATTATTTATTTGCAAAATTTTATCAGAAAAACACTTTTTTTTAAAATGTTTGGACTTTTTCATTTGTATAGCAAACAAATAAAAATCCCAGTGGTGAACAAATACCACCAAAATAAAGTTTTATCTGTCTCAAAAAAATGCTAAAAAAATTAATACGGGTACAGTGTTGCATGACCGCACAATTGTCATTCAAAGTGTGATAGCACTGAAAGCTGAAAATTGGCCTGGACAGGAAGAGGGTGAACGTGTCCGTACTTGAAGTGGTTAAACTATACCAAAACATCAATGGTGCTCTTTCTCTCTCTTGCTCTAAGGCCTTATGCACTCTGGACATTTTTCCAACTGTTCTAGACACCTTTCCTCCTGGCAGCTGTGTTATGGCAGAAAAAAATGCTTGTAATGCATTTAGGTAGGTTTAGGTGCGTCAAGAGCATGGGTGTTAAATAATTTAATTGGCCATAATAATAATTTATTTTGGTTATTGACATGAATTAACACTCAAGTACTAGCGTTACTGTGCGTTTAGAAGTATTTACGCATATTAAGTGTTTTTTATGCCAAAACACTGCTGCTCCTGGACGCACTGGCAGTGAGTTTTTTTGTGCCCATGCCTCAAAAACTCTAAATGCCTATGTGTGCATGGACACATAAGCTAACATGCAGGGGTGTTTAAAGGAAGAAAAAAAAATGCAAGACAGCCCTAACAGCCACATTAAAAACATCCAGAGTGATTGAGGCTTGTGCAAATAGACCATGCTTTCAGGTGTATTTAGATTGGTTTGAGACACTTAAGAAATATTTGAAGTTCTTTCACAGGTGCTTCTGACCTCCTTTTGACTTGCAGTTGACCACATATTAAAATGATTTAAGCTGCTTTTGCATTTTTTATTGATCAGAATTGGTAGAAAACAGTACAAAAGACTGTTTTCAAGGGCCATTAGTTAGAATCGGCCATTAATTTATCAGGGGCACTCTGATATCCTACTTTGGCTGGGCAAAAACAGTTAGCTTTATTATGTACCTAATCCATGCTGGGAAAAAAGATGGCATTTTATAATCTATTGCAATCTAGAAAAGTTGGACAACTTCAAAGCTACCAAACAATCACAAGTGAAGCCTCTGACCCCCTGTGCTCCTTATTTCCTAATTAGAGTATATTCTCTAATAGGGAAGGAGTACAGTTGCTTAGTAACTCTACCACTACTAAGTCATGAGCAATTCAATGTTACCTTTACAATATTTAATTCAAATGATTAATGTTCAAAGCTGTATATAATCACTGTATGTTGTAATTATTCATTACTTGATAGATAGATAGATAGATAGATAGATAGATAGACATACAGAAAGCTATCTATCTAGCTACACTCTTAAGAGCCACAGAGTATTTTAGGGTTCCCTGTCTGTTGTGAGCCTGTTTAGGAAGTACAGTCCCATGCTGGACTACATCGTGAAACCTTGACCAAGATGACTCCCTGGTTCTGAACCATAAAATAAACACAGTTTAAGGTGAGCAAATATTCTAATTGTATTTAGGTCAGAGTATAGAGAGTGCAAGCAAAACAAGAATGACAATAGATGTGCATAGAAATTAAACACTCTAAAAGGTTTAACAAAATAGTAAAGCACAGTATCACTTTAAGCAAGCCCAAATGTCTTGCAGGATCAGAATTTAAACTTTAATTCCAGCTTCTGAAATATCTCTCCCCAAGTGAACTGAAGTGGACTATCATGATGCTAGGCTAACTCACTTTTCAGTTCCATTAGCTGGGAACTGGGTTTAACTCTTAAGGTGAAGCTTTATTTTTATAAGCAATAATATTCCCTTTTGTATCTCCTCAAAGAATGGTGACCAATCTTCTGCGGGCTTGATGGGGCCCTAATTGGTGCACATTAACGTTAAGATCCTTTTGTGTAGGAGGAAGATTTCCTCAAGATAGTGTAGCAACAGAAAGATTCCCCTTTTAATGGTGTTGAAAATGGATAAGGTCTCTTTAACACAAAAGATGAAGGCAAGAATTGGCTAAAATTGAAGAAAGGAGTGGAAGCAGACTTAAGCAGAAATTGAACCCCTAAGGATTGTGAACTAGTCTGGTGAAACAAGTTCCTATGGAGGTGGAAGTGAGTTGAAATGAGATATTAGTGTAATCCTGTCTGCAGGGGGTACATGCTATGGCCAGAGTCCTGCGGTTTCAGGATTGTAGTTAGACACTAAAGCAGTAGGCTGCAGTACTGAATGGGCTAGGTAGTCTGTATATCAATGTGATAATCTGTGGTGTAAAGTGTGTTGAACTGAACAGCTGAATAACACAGGCACTTGCAACTTGTGGTGATCTGGGTTATGGCAACCCCTCAACCGGTTTGTAGTATTTGCAGCATGAGCAGTAGTCTCTCTGTTGGGGAGGGGGGACCATATTCTCTTGATCCCTCTGTTAAGAAGTGATGCCAATGGCAGCACTACAATCCACCTGTCTGCAGGATTGAGTGTCCTGCTCATCAGCGGTCTGCAGTTCCTCTTTATTTCTCTGCAAGGTGGTTCAATCCAGCCTGGATCCCCTGAGCCCTGCATGGTCTTCCATGCACACACATATCCTCCACCTCTTCCCATCTACTTCCTTTCTGTAAAGTTCCCAAGCTTCCCAATATACACTCTCCCACCCCTTTTCCAGCTCTTCTGGGAAATGTAGTCTGTTAACTCTTTGTTTGAGTGCAGAAATCCTGCTACCAGCATACAAGTTCAACAAGGCTTTGCTTCAATAAATTCTGAATAACTGAACAGCAGAACACTGCCATCTTGTGGTTAATTAACATCCTGCAATCAGTATTAGTGTTGTGTGATCTATCATCTATCTATGTTATATCTACACTATATTGCCAAAAGTATTAGGATGCCTGCCTTTACACGCACATGAACTTTAATGACATCCCAGTCTTAATCCGTAGGGTTCAACATTGAGTTGGCCCACCCTTTGCAGCTATAACAGCTTCAACTCTTCTGGGAAGGCTGTCCACAAGATTTAGGAGTGTGCCTATGGGAATGTTTGACCATTCTTCCAGAAGCGTATTTGTGAGGTCAGGCACTGATGTTGGACGAGAAGGCCTGGCTCGCAGTCTCCACTCAAATTCATCCCAAAGGTGTTCTATTGGGTTGAGGTCAGGTGTCAGGGCTCTGTCCACAGCAGAAGTATTTGGAGACCTGGCACTCATGTCAGTACTTTGCATGTCTGCAGAAATACATACTGGCGGACATCTATGCGCATTGGTGCACGGATGTGAGCCGAAACATGCATGCGCACTGGCACATAGTTATGCACACCACCAGCTCAGTTTGGCACCAGACAGCCCTTATAAGGAAGCCAATCACTCTGTCCAATTGCTGGTTGATCTCTGGCTCCCCAGTACTTTTGTCCTGTGTTTCCTTGCTATTTTGATCTCCTGTTACTGACTCAGATTGTTTCTGAATCTGTCTTCTCTGCTTTTCTTCTGACCTGACCTTGGCTTGGCTAATGGATAATCCCACTTGCTCTCCTGTGTATGACCCCGGCTTGGCTAGCTGATATTCTTACTTGCTCTCCTGTGTATTACCCCGGCTATCCATCTGACCACGTCTGCTCTAATTCCCACCTGGCATCTGACACTGGCTCCAAACCGACTACTCTTCTGTCCTCTGCTACTCTGAAGACCTGCTATCTCTCACGGGCACCACCTGTCTGCAGGCACCACTCCAGTAAATCAGCTGTGCTCCTGGGTGTACCTCTGACAAGCATCCTAAGTCAGATTATCTCTACAAGCACTTCTGCAGGCGACCGGTGCTAGTTTGGACCTGACTCCTTCTGTCCCATCTTCAGGGAAGTCTGGAATTTAGCTGCAAGGGAAGCTCTCTCTCCATTGGCCTCCAGCACTAGGTACATGATATCAGGACTCTGTGCAGGACAGTCAAGTTCCTCCATCCCAAACTCACTCATCCATGATTTTATGGACCTTGCTATGTCCACCGGTGTGCAGTCATGTTGGAACAGGAAGGGGTCATCCCCAAACTGTTCCCACAATGTTGGGAACATGAAATTGTCCAAAATGTCTTGGTATACTGACGCTCTTCACTGGAACTAAGGGGCTAAGCCCAATCCCTGAAAAATAACCCCACACCATAATCTTTCCTCCACCAAACTTTATACTTGGCACAATGCAGTCAGCCAATCACCATTCTCCTGGCAACCGCCAAACCCAGAAACATCCATCAGATTGCCAGACAGAGAAATGTGATTCTTCACTCCAGAGAACATGTCTCCGCTGCTCTAGAGTCCAGTGGCAGCGTGCTTTACACCACTGCATCCAACACTTTGCATTGAACTTGGTGATGTAAAGTTTGGATGCAGCTTCTCGGCCATGGAAACCTATTCCATGAAGCTCTGTACGCACTGTTGTGCTAATCTGAAGGCCACATGAAGTTTGGAGGTCTTTAGCTATTGACTCTGCAGACAATTGGTGATTTTTGCGCACTGTATGCTTCAGCATGCGCTGACCCCACTCTGTCATTTTACATGGCCTACCATTTCGTGGCTGAGTTGCTGTTGTTCCCAGTTGCTTCCACTTTGTCATAATACCACTAACAGTTGACGGTGGAATATTTAGTAGCAAGGAAATTTCATGGATGGACTTATTGCACAGGTGGCAACCTATCACGGTATCACACTTGAATTCACTGAGCTCCTGAGAGTGACCCATTCTTTCTCAAATGTTTGTAGTAGCAGTCTGCATGCCTAGGTCTTGATTTTATACACCTGTGGCCATGGAGGTGATTGGAACACCTGAATCCAATGATTTGAAGGGGTGTCTCAATACTTTTGGCAATATAGTGTATCTATCTATCATCCAAAGGAGGCTGCCCACTAATGACAGCACACCACATAAAAGTTTATTTCACCAAGGTGGCTTCCTGATAGGTCTAGTGGTCTCGGAATTTGAAGTCCCCACCTTTCTCCTTACTGGGCAATCCCCCAAAAGGTGGAAAAGTTACCAATAACTTCAATAAATATTACACATGAATCAATACCCACCTACAGTGACAATGAAATAATAAGAATAAGTGAAAAATGACAAAATGTAAGTGAGAAAAATAGTTAAAGCCCGGCTGAGCACCTCATCCACACGTAAGCAACAAAACAATGCTCATCAAATCATCAGTGAATAGGAGAACAATAGATAATAAAAAAAAAATGTATAAATCAATTATTGATTAGTAAACACCCAGCAGAGCACCCCCCTAAATGGGAAGGGTAGTGAAAATAATAATACTGCTTAGATTAAACATATATTAATCAATAAAATATCAAATAGGCAATCATCCAACTAAGCAATCAACATGAATACAGGTGAAAAAAAAAATATATATCCAATAACGTGAAGTGTGCCACGTGTTGAAGGTGGAGGAGCACAAGTGTTGTTCACTGGAGGATTATTGAATTTTGAAGAATTTTCGTGGCACACTGCATGTTATTGGGACTGTATACTGTTATTGAGTATGTATATATAATATATATATATATATATATTGCACTTATTTGAATTTGTGCCGATTGCTTAGTGGGGTGATTGCCTATTTGATATTTTATTGATTTACATGGTTACAGTACATAGTCTGGCTGGCTGAAAAAAGACAACAGTCCATCCAGTTCAACCATTAAAAAAGAAAAGTTATAATCCTACACCTACAGTTGATCCAGAAGGCAAAAAAAACTCCTAGCAAAGATGATCCTATTTGCTCCTGCAGGGAAAAAAATTCCTTCCTAATCTTCCGGAAGGCAATCGGATATTCCCTGGATCAACCTTACCTAGAAATGTTAGTATCCAGCTATATTCTGTTTATCCAAGAAAGAATCAAGGCCTTATTTAAAGTAATCCACTGAGCTGGCCAGAACCAACTCTTGAGGGAGTATATTCCACATTTTCACAGCTCTCACTGTGAAGAAACCTTTCCGTGTTTGGAGATTACATTTCTTTTCCTCCAGATGTAAAGAGTGCCCCCTTGTCCTCTGTGATGACCTCAGGGTGAATAGCTCTACACCGAGTTCACTATATGAACCACTGATGTATCTATAAATGTTGATCATATCCCCCCTTAATCTCCTCTTCTCAAGAGAGAATACATTCAGTTCCTCTAATCTTTCCTCATAGCTGAGCTCCTCCATGCCTCTTATCAATTGGTTGCCCTTCTCTGTACTTTCACCAGTTCCCCAATGTTTTTTGTGAATTGGTGCCCAAAACTGAACTGCATATTCCAGATGAGGTGTTACTAATGATTTGTACAGGGTAATATGATATCTCTCTCTCTGGAGTCTATACCTCTTTTAATACAAGAGAGGATTTTGTGCGCTTTAGAAACCGCAGCTTGGCATTGCATGCCATTATTAAGCTTCTGATCTACCAGAACCCCCAGATCCTTCTCCACCATTGATTCCCCCAGTTGTACCCCCCCCAGTATGTATGCTGCATGCATATTCTTAGCCCCCAAGTGCATAACCTTACATTTATCAACATTAAACCTCATTTGCCACATAGTTGCCAAATCAAACAGTGCATTGAGGTCGACTTGTAAGTTGGAGACATCCTGATTGATAAATGTTTAATCCAAGCACCAATTATTATTATTTTTACTATCTTTCCCATTTAGGGGGTTGTTTACTAATCAATAATTGATTTGCATATTCATTTTTATTATCTATTGTTCTCCCATTCACTGATGATTTGATGAGCATTGTTTAGTTGCTTATGTGTGGATGAGGTGCTCAGCCGGGCTTTAAACTATTTTTTTCCCTTACATTTTGTCTTTTCTCACTTATTCTTTCACTGTCACTGTAGGTGGGTATTGATTTATGTGTAATGTTTATTGAAGTTATTGATCACTTTTTGGAGGTGTGCCAAATCAGGCGTTTACTATATATTTATTTTGATGGTGGATTCGTTATATTTGAGTAGCGCAGCATCAATTTCTTTGTATATTTTGGATTTGTGGAAACACAACTAGGTGCATGCTGCAACTCATATAGGTTAGGGTCTGGCCAAGCAGGAGGATTCACCCATATTGTATTCATCTTTCTCCTTCTCTTTCCATGCTGCACTTCTGGGACAGACCAGAGAGATTCTGATGGGTCAATTCCTGCACAGTGAACTGTTCTGCCCTGTTCCGAAAGTGGGGGATTTCAAATCCTTGGACCACTGCTCCAGCAGTGTAGGTGCTGAATGCTCAGCAACCTCAGAGGTAGTTATAACAGGGACTAGGGGCTGGGGAGGGATTATGGTGCTAGTTCACCTTTTTGCTTTTTCTGTAAAGGTGAACTAACACTTTAAAGTGTCGTTAAAGGCAAAACTTTTTTTTTTTTTTTTTTTTTTAGTTTTGGATAGAATGGGGATGGATAAGACCTCTTGTCATGTTTTATCGCTGTCTGTTAGGGAGATCTAGCCTCTCTATTTGTCCTGTTTACCATTATCACTGAGAGTGAAAGTAAAAGAAAATCCCAAATTATAGATTGACATCAGAACAGGAATAGAAGGAAAATCTCCCAATGGGGACACTAGTTCTCGTGACCCTGGTGAAACCCTGGGATTCCCTCACTCTGGAGGTATTTCCTCTCCGTTCTTGTTTTGGCTATGGGACAGGAAGTGAAGGGAATTCTTCCGATTGAGAAACAGAGGGTACAAAAACTGTCAGGGGTTATAACCCTCCCTTACCCTATTCAAAATTAAAAACAAAAGTTTTGCCTTTAGTGAGTATATGTGCTGTAAAAAACAAATACAAACTGCTATTGAGGCTGTGAGCTTATTTACAGTATCCTGCTGCTTCTCTGTAGTACTTACAGCTGTGGCAGTAAAAAAGATAAATCTAATAAGAAATGCATATGTTTTTATAAGCACTTTTGACACACATTTATGCACATTTTAAATACACATTTTTGTTGTTAAGCAACTGCTTTATGGATATAGGGAGAAGAATATTTAAGAATAGAGATCTTCCCAAGTGTAGATGCTCTATGAATACAAATACAAATGTTGCTTACATTTGCCATTTTGTAATTGGGCTGCTTTACACATGGTAATGTCCGAAATATCACTTGAAAAACGAATACATTTATCAGAAGCAGAATGTCAACATTGGCATTTAAACTCAAGGCAAAAAAACAAAAAAAAACCCCAGAATCTCAAGTAATAACTAAGCCATAAGAATAGCTGTTATGTGTGCCTTTTGTTTTTTAAACTCTGGAACAGAGCTAGTAATCCACATCCATGTTTGGTCGATGTATAGCCCCTAAAGTCTTATCACTAAAAGATTTCTGTATATGTTTAAGCATTGGAGATCTGTACAAAGCACCCAACATCAGTTATGCTACTTAGCAGCATAATTGGAAACAAGGAAATTTGAAAAGAAAGGAAAAATACCTTTAAGCTGTGGAAGAATTGCATAATACGTTGCATAATGCATCCAAAGCAGAAGCAAATCATTTAGTTTGAAGTGCCCTTTCCTAGATATTTTTATTGTTACTGGCACAGACCTGAAATTGTTAAATGACCTCCTCATTTGTTTAATGAGATTTAAAAAAAAATTCCTTGTAAAAGAAGGATTTTAATACTTATCAGTCTCACTGAACTAAATAAATTAAAAAATTGCAGGAAGATGGAGTTTTTTCGCTTATCTCTTCTGCCAAACAACTACTTCCTTTTGCTGTTAGTTTTTTAATTTTGTATACACTGTCTGAAGTGAATTCTGTGTACATTCCTGATTCATTCCCAGCATCTTTACCAGGAAACAAATGTTCACTGGCTAACCAATGGCTGAAAAAGTAGGAACATGAACCTGGAACATGAACCTGGAACATGAGGAAGAGAAGACTGCAGTGGACAGAGCTGAAAAGTTCAGCATTTTTCCAAGATCAAACTCTGCTACATGGTGTGCATAAGTATTCACTGTAGTTCCAAAGTATAAGAAAGTTTCTTTATAGCAAGCACAATCAAATCAGAAAATTAAATATAGTGCTTGTATGCTGCAGGTGCACTTAAAACCACGCGTTATCTAAATGCAAAACACATCACAACTTTTTTTTCAATGTGCATAAAGTTGAACACTAGGCAGATAAAAACACATTTATTCAGATCTGTAATCATTAATGCATTGTTAAACGTACTTTTAAATTTAGAAGTACAACTATGTTAATGGAGCAGGTATGTTGAAATTAACAGAAGTGTCATAGCAAATCTGTAAACTATTTAGGTAGGTTGATGCTAATAGAGTAGAGTGGGTAATGTTGGGCAGGAAAAAGGAAGGGTGTTTGTGTGGGGCGTGGAGGGGGCTTGATGCTCATATATAAGATTCTTGTACTTATCATAACATCTATTTCTTCAAGTCCATTAAAGGACATGGGAATTCTGAAACAATCAGTTTATATTGCAAGCTTCAGTAAGTTGGTTTAATGCTCAAAGAACAAATTACACATTACCAGTCACAAATGGTGCTAGTCAGTTCTGAGAGAAAGCTAAACACAGGGCCAACAGGCTTACACATTACCAGTCAAACCCCTTGTTAAATTGTTCCAACTGGTTGTTATGCTGCTTCTAGGTGCTAGTCAGTTCTGAGAGAAAGCTAAACACAGGGCCAACAGGCACAGAGTGGT